AAAAAATGTCAAACTATACTGGGGTGCAAGGGAAGCGGGAGACCAGAAGTCCCCCCCCATGGGTCACCTGCCAGCTAGAGACCCGCAGATGTCATTAGCATGGCTCAGTCCAAGCCCAAAAGCTTCAGAACCAAGGAATCTGGTGTTGAGATTGTCTGGCCAAGACCAAAGCCCTGAGAAACTTGGAGGCCACATGTTTAGGTCCTAGGATCCAACTCTGAGGGGTGTGGAGTACTGACGACAAGGGACAGTGAGGAGGAAATTCTTTTCTATGTGGCTGTGGTTTAGCTACGTGTCCTGCAAAGGTCCACGGGCTAAGGGCCTGGCTCCCAACCCACAGTGCCACAGGGAGGTGGTGGAAGCTTCATCAGGTGCCAGGTGGCCAGCAACTAGAAAGACAAGTCCACTGGGAGGGCGTCAGGTCATGGAGGATGGAGCATTGCAGGGGACACTGAGACTGACTCTTCCCTCTCTTTGCTTCCCAGTGGCAGTGAGGTAAGCAAGCCTCTCCCACCATGAGCTGTCCTGTCCTGCTGTCCCATGCTTTGCATGCCCACAGCTACTAAGCCAAGCAGCCATGGGCTGAAACCTCCGACACTATAAGCTCAATAAGCCTTTCCTTATTGAGCTGGTAAACAAAGGTATTGTGCCCAGTCATGCAAAGCTGACCGATACATCGGCCTTGTGTTCTGTCCAGGCCTCCAGCCAACTAGACTACGCCTGCCCACATGAAGGGCAGCTCTTATCCTCTCAGTCCACTGATCCTGTGTGCCCGTCTCCTCTGGATACACGCTCACTGACACTCCCAGATACTGGTACTGACTTCTACTAGGCAGAAAAGCATGCTTACATATATGCCTCTTGGGCCTCAGTTTTCTCTTCCACAAATTAGGGAGACTAACACTCATCTCAGAGAGTCCCATTTAGGATAAAAAAAAAATAATAATACCTATAAAGCTCTTTGTAACAGGCTTGGCACATAGCATGCATTCAAGGTTAGCTAAGAAGAGCAGTTATAATGTTGCTTTTAATTTTTTTTTAAAAAATACCTTGAAAATTCCTTCCAAAATGTTCCCAACCCTCTAAGATAAGTTGCAGCTATGCATGACCTTGTTCCAAAGTTTTGCCCACAGGGCCAGAGTTGGACAGCTGGTATGATGAAGTTCCAGATAAAACTGGACCAGTCCAGTGGGAATTTTGCCAGTGTCTGTACTGTTCTCACTGACCCCGCAGAGGAAAGGAAAGGAGAAAAGGGTAGAGAATTCATAAAGGGACCTGAGGAGATATGGCAATGGCCCGGGGCAGAGCACAAGGCAAGGTCAGCAAACACGTACAAGAAAAAGATGACCCCAAATCTCTTAGGAAGGGTTGACCTTGAAGTAATATAAGCTTGGGTGGGAGAAGAAAAGTAGGGCAGATCCAGACACCCAGGAAAGGAAAGTGGGCAGAAGAGAGCGTGTGCCTGAGAGCGCGGGGTGTCTCCTTGCCTTTTTGATCATCTTTAGTTCTTCCTGAAATAACCCAGCCCTCGGGCTAAGTTATTAGGGTGGCTCGCCCGGGTGCTGCTTGCAGTGTTTCCCTGGCTAGCTAATTAAATGGAGCCGATTTAATTGAATTATAGTGAAGCCCTGCACTGATGTTGCTATAGCTGGAAGGGGGAAGCTGGAGAGTTATGAAAACCAAGCTTCTCTCTCCGGTGCTGGCTAAACTTCTGTAGGTATTTTCAGACCTCAGCATGAAAAGCATGATCGTCAAGGCAATAGCGTGTAGAGATTAGAGCAATCTCCCCAACAAGGGGAGAGATGATACTCCTTTTATACGACAACAGTTCAGTAAATTTTGTTTAGCTTGCGAAGGATACAGTTAATTACAGTAATTTATCAAAATGGCACAAGGTGGTATTCACATATACAAAGAGTATTTTCCCACAGTTGAAAATTCTTAGTTTTATATAAGCTGAAGCTAGTACTAATTGAATTTTCACTTGGGTAGATAAAATCTTTAACAACTCCAGAATAACTAAATGGTCTTTGCTCAATGATGTGACTCGGGATGATTTACAACACCTATCACACAATCATGCTAATTTTGCCTTCATATGATTAATTAAAACAATATGTTCAGTATTTCTAAAGTGGAAATAGGGCACTGAAGAGGTGGATTTTTATTACAAATTTCCCTATCCAGCGGTAAAAGCAATTTTCACACACTGTCTTCAAGAAAGTAGTAAGCACAGGGCACTTAGAGAAAAACTAGATCAAGTTCAACTCTGCTCTTTGGAAGATGACAGAGGTGAGTCTGAGGGATTTTTAGGACTTCATAGGTAAAAGTACGGTAAAGCAATCTTGTGTAAATCTCCCATTTCATTGATGATAAATCTGAGGCTTGGGAAAGCCAACATGGTGTCCCCAACTCTCAAGACCCCATCTTTGGCAACTTTCATACCATATCCAGCTTCTTTGACATTAATTCAGTGTCAACCGTCATCAATAAATCAGTTATCCCATGTGTAATTAGGGAGCCATAACATGTTATAGGCTGGACAATCCCCCCAAAGTCTCACGTGTGCAGAGATGGGCCTTTAGGAAGATGACTGGACCACAGGCACAGTATGGTCATCGGCAGATCACTCTATTGATGTGTTCACAGTGGTGTTGCTGTCAGGGGGTGGAGCCTGATTAAAGGGGGAGGTCGCTCAGTGAATGATCCAGAAGGACAAATTCTTAGCCCAGCCCACTCCTACTCTCAGCTTCCTGGCTGCCACGGGGCAAGCAGATTTCCTCCACCAGGCCCCTCCACCACGCTACTTCTTCTGTCTTGCAGCCACAGCATGGACTGACCCCCCTGAAATCATAAACCAAAGTAGCCCTCTCCTTCTTAAGATGTGAGCCCCTGTACACAGGGGCTCAGTAAATATTGGAGAGCAGGAGCACTAGACTAGGAGTTATTAAACCTGGATTTGAGGCTGTACGGTCTTACAAGCACTAACTGTCTCCCTCACTCCCCTTTTCCCTTTGTGCCAGCATTGTACTGTAATCTCACAATAGCAGAGGGACCGTAGGAAAGTCTGGCTAGAAGGGTTCATAAAATGTTGGCATCAGAGGAGTAATGGATCAGGCATGGCGGCACTCTGGTAGGCTGAAGCAGGAGCATCTCAAGTTTAAGCTAAAAGTGGGCAACTCAGAAATTTAGCATGATCTTGATTCACAACAAAAATTTAAAAGAAAAAAATTTAAGGGATACAGATATCTTAGCCCAAAGGATCTAGTGTAAAAACAACAAAAAGGTAATGAAAACAGTAGCTATAAAACCACAGGACTTCTACTTTTCAAATGCAGGGTGCTTTTCAGATGGTGGACAATGTTTTCTGAAGACCTGCCATGAGTTAAACCTTGTGTAAAGCACTGTAGCCCAGAAAGGATACACAACTGCCTAAGACACCCAGCAGGGTCAGGCTTCAGACCAGGTCCTTCTCATTACAGTACGCTGACACTGGGCTGAGGCACAACTTAGAATCTCAAAAGCCCATGAGACGCAGGCCAAAAAATTAAATAAGTAAACTGGGCGAATATGAGGCTCATAAAGAGCTGGGAGCAGGGGTATTCTGAAAACCCAGCAAGTACACACCCCACAAAAGCCCTCCCGCTTCACTCTATGGTCTGTTCTTTCATTAGGCCACATCCAGCCTGCAGGCCACCAGTCTGTCATCTTCAAGGGACAAAGCTACCTGCCAGAGCCATCGTGAGTAGGGAGAAATTTGGTAGAGAACTCCAAAATCCACTCCCCAAATGGAACAGTGGGTTGAGGGGCAGAGATGAGTCAGATGCTGGAGGCTACCTACCCTGGAATTGGGGTGAAGGGTGGGAGAGGAAGGCAGTGCTTTTACACAGGGGCAGCTAAATAACTGGAAGTAAATGGATTCAAGTCCTAAAAGGCACATGCTACCCTTAGTATATCAACATGGAGAAAAGGCCCACGCTCCGGAAAAGAGGAGCCTAAGTTACAACAATTTCTCTTGTTAATCACCACCATTCCATTCCTGCCATTCGATTGCTGGCTTACAGCTGGCCTGTGTTGAGAGCACTATAGGATTACCTACTACTAATATCCTTGTTTTAGATGAGAAAGTTCAAGTATGTCACTTCTCTCCAAGTATGTAACCCAAGCAAGACACCACTGCTGGTAAGAAGCAAAGCAGAGATTGCAAAGCCCTTGGCTGGGTCCCTGGGCTTCACTTTGATCCTCCAGAAAATGTGGGGCTGGGGCTCTAGAAGCTACAAGCTTGGGCTTCCTGATGGGATCCAGCATCTTCTAGCCTCTCACCAGAACAATAAGGGCTCGCTGCCTGGGTCCTTCTCTGGCCACTAAGCAGCTCTCCTCATTCACCCAGGACACCCCACTCCAGGGCCCAAGGTCCCCTTCTCAGGGTGCATTTCCCCCCCAAATGCCTGAAGGGAAGAGCCGCACAGTCAGCAACCCAGTACATAGCCAGCCTTCCTCTCAAGGGTGCTCCACCCTGGAGCTGCCCACTTCCATGACCAGGGGTGCTCCACCCCGGAGCTGTCCACTTCCATGACCAGGGGAGCTGCAGACCCACCCTGCAGAGCTGTCAGTTCCTTTCATTCGTTTGATGCATGTATGAACTGACAGATATTCACTGAGCACATGCAGAAGGATACCACTGGCATGAACAAATTCCTGCTCTCCCAGAGCTTGGACTTTAGTGAGGGAGACAAATGATAAAGGTGATAAATAAGTTGAATTGATTTATTGGTTAGATAGAAGTCAAGTATTGTGGGGGGGAGAGGTGGAATGTTAGCACAACCAGCCTGAGAAAGTGACTTTGGGGAGAACCTAAGTTCAAGAAACCTCTAGGATGCTGAGAGAGGAGCACTGCTGTGGTTTAGACCCAAACCTCCCCCCAAATTCTCATGCCTGCAGAGGAAAGGCCCTTGGAAGATGAGTGCATGGAAGGGTGCTGTCCTACTCAACGCATCTACCCGGGAATGAGCGGAAATGAGCATAGCAGCCGAGAGTGCCACCGATGAGGCTGCTCCCAGCCACGGGCCGCGCCCTGGGAGGCTGCATCGCCTCGCCCAGCCCCTCCCTTCTCTCTCTGCTTCCTGCTACCATGATGCAAGCTGCTCTCCCCCTCAGCGGGCTCAACACCAGGCCGTTTCTGCCTTGACACCCCCTGACCAGGGACTGAACCCACAAGACAAACCTCTCCTCCTCCAAGTTGAGGGTGTCAGGTGTTTTGTTCCATGAGACAAGTAACATTAGTTACAAGCAACCAGGTTGAGAAAAAATGCAAGGGCAGAGTCTCTCCAATATGTTAAAGAACAGTGCATGGGATTCAGGGCATAGGAAGGAAACAGGGGCAGCGGAGGCAGTCAGGAGTCAGACCTGGCCTGGCCTCATAGGTCACGACGCTGGGTGTGCTGCTTTGAAGGGCTGAGAGCCAGGAGGTGTTATAACCTGTGCAATTGATTCCAATTTTGTAACTCTGTATGCTTCCACTAAAACTTTATTAACTGTTATAACCTGACGTATGCGCCGCCATCTTGTTCTGTATGCGCCATTCTAAAGCTGTAACTTCCCACTGTGCCCATTCTCTACTTGAGAACCTGCAGTTGGGCCTTTCTCACGCTGCCCTTTTGTGCGCACCTGAATCTAGTTTCAGCCCAATGCCCTGATCTCGCCCTCGTTCCCAGCTACAAACTGTACCCACCACTGCACTTGTTATTGTTCATTAGAAACAGGTAATTTTTCAACTGTAGCCCCAAGATAAACCCTTGAGGTCAGCTTTTATGGTTTATTGGCTTAAATACCTACTCCATTTTGTAACCAGAATGGGCATTGTATTATACATTTCTGTACATGTCCACTGTAACTTTATTAATGAGGATTGTTTGGTATAAGCTGACAACTTAAACTCCATCTTGGTGGCTCAAGCCATCCATCGGACCTCTGAACAGTTTGTTAATGTTCAAACCATTCCTTTGTTCTAAACCACAGTGTGTCAGAGGTTGAGATCTGAACTATTTTTACCCCAGAGCACTCCACACAATATGTCCTGTGATCAGCACCGAACCATAAATTGTATTATTTGTTCCTGAAAATTGTATGTAATCTGTTTTCCCGAAAGTGGACGCTGACCCCTGTGCTGCATTCCCTTGCACTCAAATCATAAGACCTCCCCTTTGCGGTTTTCAGCCTTAAAAACCCTTGTCTCTCCCCTCCTGGGCGTGCACCTCAGCATCTTGCGGGGCTGTCTGCCGCTGGGTACCAGCTAAAATAAAGCGCTTCTTTAACTTTTGGACTTGCCTCGTTGTCATCTGATTTTTGAGTTACAACAGGAGGGATGTGTCTGACATGAGCAAGGTCACGAGCAGCATCAGTGGTCAATCTGAAGGTAGAAGACAGAGACTAGTTAGATGCAGTTGTTTTAATCCAAGGTAAGAGATGCTGACCTCAGGGATCCAGGGGGTGGCAAGAGGTGGTGAGAGGACACGGGGCTGGGACCTCAGGTTCTTGTAGAGCTCCGGTCCTGAGCCTTTGCAGCCCTCTGACTGCCAGGTCCTCTGTCCAAGGTGCTGCCCAGGGGGGCAGCTCAACGTGTTTCCCTCCAAGAGAGAGCACGTTTTCTTTCTATTGCTATGATAACAAATCAGCACAAACAACACACATTTATTATCTTGCAATTCACAAGTTCAAAGTAGGTCTCTTTGGGCTAAAGTCGCGATGGCCTCAGCACAGTCCTCCTGCTGGCATTCTGGGGGCCATCCGTCCCTGGCATTTCTCACCTCACAGCGGCTGCCCGCGCTCTTTGGCCGTGGCTCCACTCACCATGACCTGCATCTCCACACTCACATCTCCTTCTCTTCTTGTGCAGATGCCTGTGGGCACCCTGAGTGGACCCAGACTGCCTGGCGCACGCTCCCAGCCTCAAAAGCCTTCATGTAGTCACATCTATGACATCCCTTTGCCTATATAAAGTAACACGTTCAAAGATTCCAAGGCCCACACAGGGGAAAGGGGATGGACTCACTCTTACATAGTGAGCCCTGTGAAATTTGCTGATTTCATAAGGAAAAAGTACAATAATAAAAGAATACATACATACATACAAACCAGGAGACTGTACACCATGCCCACATGGGAATGTACAGCCTGGCCCCAGTAGACATTCGTGTCTTCCCAGGCAGGGCACAAACTCACCCTGGAGTGGCCTCGGACCACTGACCCCTGTGTCCCCCACGCACAACTTTCCCATACTCCAGGCTCCTCTCCCTTTGACAATAAGGGAAAACATCGGTATCCTTTGGCTTACTGTCTCCTCTTGCACCCATAAACTCCTCACAGGCTCAGCTCAGCAAATGACCTCCCATGGAACCAGATGCTGCCAGCATTTCTTCTGGCCATGTGCAAAGGGGAAGAGATTTCATCAGGCCCCAGGTTGTCCCAGAGAGCCCAGGGCACTGCGCCCAGGACCGGCACCACCTCTGCAAGAGCATCTGGCATCACTCCCCACGCACATGAGCCCCGCAGCGTCTCCACCCTGGAAGAGCTCTCGCAGCAGCTTCTGCAGATGTCAGGGTGGGGCTTGGCCTGGCCAGCCTGCATTCCACAACTGTCTTCCTCGTGAACCAGTGAGCAAAGTCTGGGTGCTTGGCAAAAGCTAGGGGAGCAGGCGCATCTGTCATACGTCTTCAAGTGTCATCGCCACACACTCAAACGCAAAGCATTCCAGATGGGCACAGGTCCATGACCCAAAGCAGAAACTGTTAAGTAGGCCATGTGTGGCAGGAGGACACCATGCCCTCTGCTCCACAGACCACCAGGCACAAGAGGGAGTGCATGCGGCTCCATCCGACGGTTGCAATCATAGCTCACAGTCTAGAAACTCCAACTCCACCTGGAATCCCAGCACTCGGGAGGCTGAAACAGGAGTTGTGCTGGGAGTTAAGACCAGCGAGACCCAGTCTCAAAACATAAAAATAAATAAGTGAATGCTCTAACTCACAGAAGCAGAGAGCAGAATGGAGGAGACCAGGAGAGAACTGGGGGGCCACAGGGCACAAAAGTTGAGATGGAAAGAATGACTTCAAGAGATCTGTGACACAAGGTGACTATAGGCAACAACAATGCAGTTCATGGTTGAAAATTGCTCAGGGAGCAGCTGGTAATTACTGAGCATGGCGGCTCACACCCATAATCCCAGCATTCTGGGAGACTGAGGCAGGAGGATGACAAATCTGAACCCAGCCTGGGCAACTTCATGACTGAGCAAGAACCTGTCTTAAAGTACAGAAATAGGGGCCAGGGAGATAGTTCAGTAGAATAAGCGCTTGCCTGGCAAGTGCAAGATCCTGAGTTCAATCCCTGGTAAAAAAAAAAAAAAAAAAAGTGTATAAAATGCAGAAATATTGAAAAGGACTGAGGACGCAGCTTGGTGCAGAAGCCCCAGCTTCAGTGCCTAGGACCATGGTGGAGGAGAGCGTTGCGTGGTGCACATGCTAATTAGTTCAATTCAGCCATTCCATGATGTATACATATTTCAGGATATCATACTGCATGCCATAAATGTGTATAATTTTATTTGGCAAATTCATTGACTGAAACAAAATCTAGAAACACAACAACAACAAAAGAAATCCCAGCTCCTAGTTCCTAGGCTTCAAGCTGAATGACCATGGGTAGATTTCTGTCGTGGCTCACATCTAGACGTTTCCACAAAGCCTCAGGCACCCATAGATGGGGCTTCTAGGAGTGACTGGATCGGGGTGGAGGGGGTGGGCTGCGCTGCTGGGTTAGCGCACCGACGGCTTGTTATGGTTTATGTCTGGTGTCTCCCCAAGGCCGCGCGCAGTCATGAGGGCTGGACTTCACAGAGGCTGCTGAATTAGAGTGTGTGACTGGCTCACTGTCTAGCGCTGGGGTGGAGGTGCACCTGCCCTCAGGTGGGTGGCCTGTGAGCAACATAAGGGAGGACAAGAGGTCCTCTTTGGCTCTCTTCTATCACCATGAACTGCTGCCCTCTACTGTGTGCCACCCGCCTCAACGCCAGTGGGCTACAGACTGAAACCTTCACAGACTAGGAGCTAAAAAGGCCCTTCCTCCCTCAATTTTGCATGTCAGGTATTTTGTCTCAGAATGGAGAGAAAAATAATGAGGACATTGGTCCAGCATAGCTCTGGGTGCAGACGATTCGCTGGAGCGAGAAGATCCATCTGGATGCAGGCCACACCAACCTATAAGCTTGTAGCCTGGGTGGCATAGAGAGGGAAAGGAGACGAAGGAAGTCTCGCTGTTTTGCCATGAGCTATTTCTCTTCTGCCAGGCCACGCTGCCCTGGAGCCAGCTAGCTATGGACTGAAGCCTCTCCAAACTGTAAGCTACAATAAACCTTTCCTCCTTTAAATTGTGGGTGTCAGGTACTTTGTCCCAGCAATGAGAATGCAACTAAGACAGCTATTTAACCTTTCTAGGTCTCAGTTTCCTCATCTGTAAAATGGGGCTGATAGTAATCATTATCTCTTAGGGTTGGTTGAAAAACACCAAATGAAATAATTCAGATAAAACACTGAGCACCACTTGTCAAAAAAGGACCTGTTTTCAGTATTGCAAATATTTTAATGATTTCATCTCTCAGGTTGGTTCACCTGCTGGATTACTTTGAGATTACAGATGTTCCTGACCCATGGGGTAATCTGGCCTCTGTCATGAGATAAACGAAGTGCACCTGAGCTGCTCCTCCACCCCAAGCCCTGACTTTCTCCTGAATTAGAGCCCTTGGCCGCTGTGCCCATCATAGCTTCCTAACCACTTGGGCTCCCTAAATGGGTTCCTTGATTTCCACCTGGGGAAGCCAGAGGCTGGAGGCAGCAAGACCACAGCTAACACACTCCTGCTGGCCTGAACCACTGGATGGGATGTGTGGTCACGCATGCACAGCCCGTGGTTCAGAGCCACCAGCAAACTCAGCAAGATAAGCAAAGTATGCGCTGCCATGAACTGTCGAATCACAGTGAAGCTGAAATCCATTCTCACTGCTCCCTCCTGTGCCTGTTCCCTCAGGACCCCGG